CATTATATTTCCGGAGGTATCGTGGCTCCCTTCATAGATTGCGTTACAGGCAGCTACCCAGTCTTGCCTACCCCTTAACCAGGCTATCTTCAGGGTGAAGTCCACTCACTAGTGCCTCTTCTCTTTGGCACAGGAAGCCCCTCTCCCTGCCCAACCTGCAGGTCCTTTCTTCTTCTCCTGAAGTTCCCCCTTCTTCCTGCTCCACTCTAATCTTTTCCCTTTCTTGAGCATTTCTGCCCTCTAACATTCTCTCTGCCATCATGTGAGCTAATATACTTTTTAGTAGATTTAAGGAACCTTCTCAGAGCAGGCTGAGTAAATTCCTAGTCTATACATAATATAAACTTTTCAGTACAAGCAATGACTGCTTTCACCTTTCTCTACCTCTGGGGAGCTATTTTTGTTGTTGTTATTAATCCTCACCTGAGGATATTTTTCCATTGATTTTTAGAGAGAGTGGAAGGGAGGGGAGAGACAGAGGGAGGGAAACATCAAAGTGAGAAGGACCCATGGATTGGTTGCCTCCCACAGGCACCTCGACCAGGGCTGGGTTTGAGCCTGCAACCCAGGTATGTGCTCTTGACTGGGAATTGAACCCACGACCCTTCAGTCCGCAGGCTGATGCATGATCCACTGGCTAGGGCTGTGGGGAGATATTAAAAAGTACTATTTATCATAATTGTTTACAGACAGTAACAAGATTAAAATATATATTAACACTAGATGCCCGGTGCATGAAAATTCATGCACTTGGGGGGGATCCCTCAGCCCTACCTGGCCCCTCTCACAGTGTGGGAGCCCTCAAGGTATGTCCTAAGCTGCAGTCTCGTCTCCCTCTGCAGGAGGCGACCAGGAGGATCAGGGGAAGGTGCCACCCCCATTACCCCACCACTGCTGCTGCCTCTGGCTTCCCTCTGTGGGAGACGACTGGCCAATCAGGGGAAGGTGCCACCCCCATCATCCCACTGCTGCTGCCAAAGCCGGCCTCCGTGGCTGTGGGCCCTTGGCCCTTGCTTCTTAGCGCTAGCCCCGCCCCCCTCGCCCACTTGTGGGGTGGTGATCTGGGGCCAGGCTGGCTGGGGGAGGGGCTGGGGGAGGTTGAGGCACTGTGGTCGCAACCTGTCCAGCCTCTGCGGAGGCTCTGGGACCACGGCGCTGCCGCCTCTCCCAGTGCCGCTTCTGCAGAAGGAGGGGTGGTGGCATGGGTGGGACTGGACTGGGCCTGTGGCCACCGCCTCTCCTGCACCACTGGCCCTCAGCCCTCACAGCTGCTGCAGCTTTGTCTGGAAGGATGACCATAAGACATCAGGCCTAATTAGCATATTACCCTTTTATTAGTATTGACTAGAGGCCTGGTGCATGAAATTCGTGCAAGGAGCGGGTGTCCCTCAGCCCAGCCTGCACCCTCTCCAAACTGGGACTGCTCAGGGACATCCCTCTTGCAATCTGGGACCTCTGGCTCTAACCGCTCACCTGCCTGACTGCCCGATCGCCCCTAATCACTCTGCCTGCTGGCCTAATCCCTCTAACTGCCTCTGCCTCTGCCTCGGCCCCACCACTGTGGCTTTGTCCAGAAGGTTGTCTGGAAGATGTCTGGTCTAATTAGCATACTACCCTTTTATTAGTATAGACTAGAGGCCCGGCGCACAAAAATTTGTGCACTCAGCCCGGCCTGTGCCCACTCACAGTCTGGGACCCTCGGGAGATAACGACCTGCTGGCTTAGGCCTGCTCCCAGGTGGCAGAGGGCAGGCGCTATCCCTAGGTGCAGCCCCTGGTCAGGCTCAGAGCAGGGCTGATTGGGGAGTTGGGGGACCGCCCCTGTCATGCACAGAGCAGGGCCAATGGGGGTTGGGGAGCGCCCCCCTGTCACTCATAGAGTAGGGCCGATAGGAGAGTTGGGGCACTGCCCCCTGTCACACACAGAGCTGCAGGGCAATCAGGGGGTTGGGGAGCTCCCCCATATCAGGCACAGAGAAGGGCTGATCAGGGGGTTGGGGCACCTTCCCCTGTTACAAACAGAGCCGTAGGGCGATCAGGGAGTTTGGGCGCTTCCCCCTGTCACGCTGATCCTGGTGCCGGGAGGCCTCGTGGCTCCGCTGATCCCAGTGCTGGGAGGCATATTACCCTTTTACTATATAGGATAGAGGCCTGGTGCCCGGGTGGGGGCCGGCTGGTTTGCCCTGAAGGGTGGCCCCGGTCAGGGTGGGGGTCCCCGTTAGGTTGCCCGGCCAGTCTGGGTGAGGGGCTGAGGGCTGTTTTCAGGCTGGCGGGTGACTGAAGCTCCCAACCACTCCTTTTTTTCTTTTTTTCTTTTTTTTTAATTCTGGACCAGCTTTAGCTCTGAGGCTTGACTCCAGCTCTTAGGCCTCCGCTGCTGAAAGCAGGTTTCTGGCCTTTGTTTACCTTCTGTATTTGAAACAATGCTGCGATCCTGCTGGCTCAAGGCCAACGACTAAAGCAGGTTTCTGGGGTTTTGTTTCGCTTCTGTATTTGTAACATAGTTGCTTAGAGTTGCAGCTCAGAGGCCGGCAGCGGCAGGTGGGGAAGGTTGGAGTACCTGAAGCAAGCAAGCCTCATGTTAGTTTTCAGCTGCCTGGCTGCCGGCCGCCATCTTGGCTGGCAGTTAATTTGCATATCGCCCTGGTTAGCCCATGGGTAGGGTAGCGGTCGTACGCCAATTACCATGTTTCTCTTTTATTAGATAGGATTAGTATATGAACCATGTCAATATTGTTGAAATATGTATGTATGTAGTTATTTATTGAAAGATTTAAAATTAATTTTTAGAGAGAGAGAAAAGGTGAGGGAGAGAGCTGTGAGGGTGAAACATCAATTGGCTGCCTCCTGCACGCCCCCTAACAGGGGAATGAGACCACAACCTGGGCATGTGCTCTGACAGGGAATTGAACCTGTAACTTTCTGGTGCACAGGTTGACACCTAACCAACTGAGCCACACTGCTCAGGGCTGAAACAGTATTTATGATAATATATAAAAAATCAAAAGTCACATATGGATTACAGTTAAAATATATGGTTATATCCTGAAAAAAAAGTAGTTTGGAATTATGTAAACAGAACAAGTAAATTGCTGAACAGCTTTTAAAGAAAGAAATTTGAATATGTATATTTAAATGATCTTGTCTATTTTATAATCAACTTTCTTGAAAGTCTTTTTTTTCAATGCTGTTATGTCATCAGCTTAAAATATTTTTGGAATTCCTCTTTTAATATAGCTATTGAATGCCTATTTATTAGACAATGAAGAAAATCAGGCTCCATTTTAGCTATTTTAAAATTTGTTTTTTTATTATCACAATAATTACTATAACCAAAGCCCAATACAGTTCTAACTAATTTGATTGGCCACTTTACCCCACCTGGAAGTCAAATAGCTATTTGCTATTTCTAAAACTTTTATCTGCCTTCAAAGCATAAAGATTTGCCATTATTGAAAAATGAACACAATTGTGACAGTGAAACATCAATTGGCTGCCTCCTGTACGCCCCCTTACAGGGGAATGAGCCCGCAACCTGGGCATGTGCTCTGACTGGGAATTGAACCTGCAAACGTGGTTCAGTGGTTGAGCATCAACCTATGAGCCAGGAGGTCACGGTTCGATTACCGGTCAGAGCACATGTCCAGACTGCGGGCTCAAAGATGGTTGGGGGCATGCAGGAGGCAGCCAATCAATGGTTCTCTCTCATCATTGATGCTTCTATCTTTCTCTCCCTCTCCCTTCCTCTCTAAAATCAATAAAAGTATTTTTTTTAAAAATATTTGCCATTATTGAAAAATGAACATGCTGCCAGGCCAGTATGGCTCAGTGGTTGAGTATCAACCCATGAACCAGGAGGGCATGGTTCAATTCCCTGTCAGAGCACATGCACAGGTTGCAGGCTTGATCCTCTATAGGAGGTGTGCAGGAGGCAGCTGATCAACGATGTTTCTCTTTCATCAATGTTTCTATTCCTTTCTTCATCTCCCTTCCTCTCTCTCTCTAAAACTCAATAAAAACATTTTTAAAAAAGAAAAATGAACATGCCACAAACACTGATACCAGTTTCAAATACACTAAACAATGACAGAATCATAAGAATAAGTATCTGGCTTTCTAAAATAGAAACCTGAAGGGGATATCATTCATTGGATGTATAAGTGCTAGTATTTTAGTTTGCAAACTAGCTACAGTATTTTCTAATATGCTCTCTGACATCTTTTTGACGATCAAACTCAGAAACAGAAAGTAGAAAGTAGCTGCCAGTGGCTGGAGGGAGAGGGAAATGGAAAATTATTTAATAGAAACTGGTTATATGATAATATGAATATACATATGTACTAAAGCATACACTAAACAATGGTTAAAATGATAATTTTATGTGCATTTTACCACAATCAAAATATGTTTTAATTTAAAAACTAAGTTAGATTAAACTTAACACCTACATGATAACAAAGTATATAAAAAGTTTCTAAGAATATGTAAGATTATAAAAAACATACAATATAATTTATTAGTGCTTGTTCCACCATGTGGACATTTAAAAGTACACTGATAAAATAATATTATGTCCTTCATTTTCAAAGATGTACTTCTCCACTTCCCTTCACTACCCCGTTCCTTTCCTTGGAGGCAAACACTCTATTTCCCAGATACCCTTCCAGAGGCATTTGATACATATACACGTTAAGTGGAAGCTTATACACTTTGTTTTTAACATAAATAAAAGTATGACATACATAGAGTACTGTTTTTTCCTATTTATATATTGGAATTCATTCTGTATTAGCTGTGGCAGTATGTTGAGATGTGGCAGACTGGCCTAATAGACTGTATCCTATTTTCTAATGCCTCTTATGATCCACATCATACACATTTGTCTATGCCCAAGCCGAAGAATAGAATTTTCTGCTTTTTAAAATTAAATTGCTTCTTCAGAGGCCAAGTGACTCTAAATGCTGAAACTAAGTGATCTACTTTATAAAGGAAAAAAATTACCTTAAAAGAAGCAAAGGCATCTGATGCAATATCAAATGTTGACAACTCCACATACTTAAAGAAATCTCTGAATTGATTAGAAAAGAGGATGATTTTGGCAAGTGGTTCATGTCGAATACATTCTCTCAGCATAATTCCACAACGTAAGGCAATCTGTGGGGCTTCATATCTAAAGCAAAAACAAGAGATAGAGAACTCTGTTATCCTATTAACAAAATAATATTAATAGTATCAAAAGAACCTTTTCAATACTGCTGTTAATGGAGGCATAGATAGCACTTGTCATAGTTCTTTCAAACACCATTCATCCAATGCCCACTGAATATCTATGATGTGTGTGGTATTATTCCAGGTACTGGGGGTACATCAGTAAGCAGACAAGGTCACTTGCTTCCTAGTCAAGGTCACTTGTTCCATATTTTAGAGAGGTTACTTACATCTGGTGGGGGAAGAGGCAGGCTATAAGAAATGAAAAGATAATTTCATTTTCTGAGAAGTGCTCTTAAACTAAAGAGAATAAAAATAGTGTGACAGGCTGAGCCTGTCATGATAAGATTGGTATTTCCTTTGGTTGCCCCTCAAACCCTGCACCCAATTACAGGCCAGACAAAGCAATGCCAGAGATCTGCTTTATTGGGGGAAAGTATCCCAACCCTAATGCATGTGTAGTTTAGCCCCAGACAACTATTGCATGACCTATCGACATTATAACAGTAAAAAACACACCCTAGGTAGAGATTTAATACACTAATGAGACATGTGACACATGAAGAAACATGATATACTGTGCAAGCACCAAAGAGCCCCACCACTACATGCTTAGACATTATACTAAGATGTCATCTTTCCTGTCTAAAATCCTTTAAAACTGCTCCCCAGCCATTGCTCAAAAAGTAGCATCTTTCCTGTTTTCTAAGTGTTGTCTCCCTTTGTGCATGAAGCTTTAACGAACCTTCACCTGAGTCATGATTCTGTGGGTCCTCTATTTTTGCCTAGAACCCAGGGCTCCAGTAACAACAGGTATATTTAGAGTGTAACTAGTACTTAATTTAATTTACTTTGGATTGAGTCGCCAGGGAATAGGCAAAGCATTCCAAGCGAAGGGAGCTAACTGTACAAAGGCTCTAAGGCAAGAACCAGCTTGATTAGTTAGAGGAGAAGGCCAATGTAGTTGAAGTGCAGGGGGAAGAGCAGTGAATGGTGTGAAATGAGGCAGGAGTGCAGAGAAGGGCAGGGGCCTGATAACCTACAGGACTTTCAATAGGGAGTCTTTGGAGAGTTTAAAGCAAGAAAGTCCAACTAGAGATGATGGTAGCTTGGACTGGGGTAGTAGTAGTAGAATCGCTGGCTGTGGTCAGGTCATGCATATTGTTTGATGTAGCTAGGGCAGGGGAATCAATTTGGGGTGAAACTGAAGATTAAAGCATGAGTTCTGTGTTTGGGGCTTAAATATAATTGGATAGATGGTGGTGTCATTCATTAAAATGAATAAACTAGTTGAGGAACAGGTTAGAAATTAAGAGATTGTCTTTGACCATGTTAACTTTGAGATGCCTGATATCTAGTTAGAGACATCGTCTTTGCAGTAGTATATACCCATCTGGAGTTCAGAAAAAAGATAAGGGACAGATATATATATATAATCTACACTAATAAAAGACAAAGATGCTAATTGACCATATCTTCACTATGCCCACCAGCCAATCAGAAGAGTATGCAAATTAACCCAACAAAGATGGCCATTAGATTTGCATACTACAGGTAGGATGGGCAGCACCAGACGCCACCCATGGGATCTGGGCCGCAGATCGGGGACCAGGGAGATGGGGTGGGCAGTGCCAGACACCACCCGGGGAGGCGGAACCGGTGATCACCCTGGCCAGAGGCCTGAGACCTGGGCAGGGGCAGAGCGGGCCATTGGAGCGGGCTGGGGGTCCCTGCCCAAGCCTAATGCCTGTCCAGAGGCCTGAGGCCTAGGAAGGGGTGGAGCCGGCAATCGCCCGGGGCTGGGGGTCCCCTGCCCAGGCCTAATGCTCTGGCCAGAAGCCTGAGGCCTGGGAAGGGGCGGAGCCTGTGATTGAAGTGGGCTGGGGGTCCCCTGCCCAGACCTAAGACCCAGGCCAGAGGCCTTAGGCCTGGGCAGGTGATTGGAGTGGCCTGGGGGTCCCCTGCCCAGGTCTAACGCCCAGCCTAAGGCCTTAGGCCTGGGCAGAGGTGGAGCCTGGGATCGGTATGAACTACAGAGGAAACACCTTTTCTGAGCACTCATTGGCTAAGCTCCCTGTATGCTTTTTAAAGAAAGTGGCCATTTTTTCATGGTCAAGGGACTGGAGTCCATGTTGATGAAAACACCGTGGTGGCTGCAGTGACTGGCAGTGGCTGCAGCAGCGGGGTGATGGGGCTGGTGCCTTCCTCTGATCAGCCCGGTCGCCTCCCACAAAGGGAGGCCAGACTGCAGCTTAGGCCCGCTCCCCAAGGAAAGCAGGGAGCAGTAGGCCTAAGCCATCAGTAGGACATCCCCTGAGGGCTCCCAGTATGTGAGAGGGGGCAGGCTGGGCTGAGGGACCACCCCACATGACAGTGCACGAATTTTGTGCACCAGGCCCCTAGTTTGCATATAATAAATAACCAGCAATTAATAGTTTTGGATTGACTGACTCACTATAATCATGAAGTAGAATTACAGCTCTCAGCAAAAACTACACTAGAAAAACACAATGTCTATTGTAAGGAACAATCCAGGAATAGCATACTAGACCTGTTCCATTTCTAATTTAATAACAATTTTTCAAGTGTCAAATTTAACAATGAAATAAATCTAGGTTTGAGTTATACTACAGTGTATAATAAGGTTTTAAGAAAATGAACAATATTGAAGGAGAAAAGCATTGTCATTTATTCACAGAGGACTTAAGGAAATATAAAGACTGTTGGCTCAGAGCAGGGGTGGGAAACATCCATCCTACAGGCCGTATAAGGCCTGTGAAATCATTTGGTCTGGCCCTGTCAAGGCATTAGGGATGAGTTAATTAAATGTTTGACCAAATATAGTAGCTAATTTTTTTTTAAGTTGATAATTTTGTATGGCCTGCGAATGATGTTATAAATATTCAAATGGCCCTTGGCAGAAAAAAGGTTTCCCACTCCTGGTTTAAGGGATCTGTAATACACATATATCATTCTAATCTGACTACCCTCCAGGATACTGGCTTTCGATAGCTTATTGCCTATTATATAAAGAGGTGGTTCATAAGTTAAGCCTATCTTAAGTTTAAAATCACAATAACAATAACCTTAGGTTTGGTAAAGAACAAATATTCATTTCATTTATTCTACTTATAGATAAGGT